AGCGCACTGACTTAACAAAAGCCTATTCACTCTTGCCTTGAAGACACCCACATTGTAATAACTCTAATTTCACTCCTTTGCTGTCTGTAGGCATGATGAACGACGTACCGAACCGTTTGGTTCGAATGCGTGGTAAGTCAACAACGAAAGGGTGGAGACTGGCCGAACGTCTGGTTGTACGATGGTGGACGGGACAGGGAGGAATTATATTATGCAATTCCTGCGCACACTCTCCGAAATGCACCCTGTAGAAAACCGAAAGGCTGGCTACTTGCGTCTGTGTTCGAGACTGGTAAGATTGGTTTTAACCAAATTCAGGTCACCAATAAGCCTCTTAGCACGCCTTTCCATTGAGTCCAAAGCTGCTAGGTGGCATTTTGTGTTTACACAAAATATAAAATTCACAAAATATAAAATTTAGGCTTTCGATGACCTTTTGTAGGGTGCCTTTGAAAGGTTTTATGGAATGGATCCTGTTGATCTCATTGTAAGCAAAAGAGTTTCTGTAACGACAACAGGGAGGCGAGAGCGTGGGTCTAATATTTAGATCAGGGTACCTGAGTATAACGCCGCGGGTTCAGAGTTTAAATCTGAACCAGAGCCTATATTTGAATTTAATTAAAAGTTTTTTTTTTAATACTTGGGTCCGATTGTGTTGTTATTTGTTTGATATTCTTTTTCATACCTAATTTTAGATTAATTGTAGAATAATTACCGAGGGATGTGAAACGACCGTGACATTTCTCTTGGCCGTCACTTACGATAACCACGTCACAATGGGATGATTGGATTCCATTACGCCCTTACCATATATCTTAGTACCTTCAGGATATAAGATCTATGGTCCAATGCTGAACATATGCCTCCCTCTCCAAGGAGCATTTGCCGTAGTTAACAAACTTCGCGGGCGGGTTAACTAACACAGATTTTTTTTAAAAATATTATTGACTTTTAAAATGCTACTGGTCATCTTCCGTTTTCCCCGCTACCGCCTCCTACAACACCCACGTGATGATATGGGTTAGCAGATATTTTTACGTTACCGCTAAGTTGATGCATGAAACAAAAAAGTCGTGAAAAATAGTTTCGCCGAATAAAATGAAGAGGATTGTGAAACTGTATTTTCATACTAAAGGCGATAACGTCCCCCTCCCCCCCCCCCCCCTCGTAAATATAATCTAATTTTTATAATTTTTGGAAATTTTGTAGATTTAATGAAAAACTATAGGTTCGTACGTTGTTTATGTTAAATAAATATTCTGTACGATATAAGTTACAAGCATCTAAATATTAATAATTTTGACTTAAAACTTCATCGAGAGTTTTTATTTTTTTTTAATTAAACTAAAGTAATTCTATACTATATGAGAAAAACGTACAGACCTACATTAAGATGTACTCAATGTAATGAAATGAAAATTGTCTCATTTCGTATATTTTTAGGGGGGGGGGGGGGGGTGAAAACGTTATCGTCCGAAACAATATTTCTAAAAAGAAATGTAGGTAACTGCTTCCAAGACTTTGCAACTCTATCTATCGTACGATATGGCGATACGTAGTGAGCGTTATGAAACAGATAGCATTTTTGAAAATACCTACTCGTGCTGCCTACTAATACCTACTAATGAAAGCTAGTATGAATGAACTAGAATACATTAATAAAAAATGCTTTTTTCCTGCACAGTCTCTAAATGAGCAGCCTTTTTTCTACTTATGAAGTCAAGTGTGGCTCTCGTAGTACCTCCCTCTGTGTACTTGACTAACCGAGCGGTTAGTGGAGGGCGCTCGACAAATTAAAAGCCATGCAGTGCAGGGGAACCCATCGAAGAACATAAGACCCATTTTAAAACCGTCAGATTTTTTAATACTTATTGACATGTTTTGGTGAATTTTAAATATTAGATTGATTATGTGGCAGAACTAATTTAATGATTTACACGAAAACTACACATGGAAGAAAAACAAATTTTACAGAAATAAACGCGTTTAATTTTTTTTGCTATTTTCAATCTCTTATGGTTGGCCTTATGATTTATTATATTTACGCGAATACTACACATGGAATAAAATCGTAGTAAAGTTTATTTTTAAAACTAAGCACAGTAAAATTCCTAATATTAGTTTTTATTCCAGAACTTATTTATTGATGGATGCATTTAAAGTTGTATTTGGTGTAAATATATGAACTTCTTGTCTGAGTCCGAATTGACGGGAAAAACTCTGGCCACCGACTCGTGGTTGTAAATTCATTCAAAACGCTGTAATGAATTCCATCATTGTGATCCCCTATCCCACAATAGAAATGAGTTGAATGAACTACTTACAGGTCTAAGATGAAGAAATATATGAGATAATTAGTCACACTTTTCTCGCAATAACTAAAAAAAGTTTAATAAACTTAACCTAGTGTAAGCACTCTCTAACTGAAAGTTCAAATGGTTTTGCGGAGGAGTGGGTCGTGATGTATAACGAACGGTACTCTACAAATGATTTAAGCTTTGTCTTGAGAAATAGAAAACGTTTTCGATGCAGACAGTATACGGTATTGTTTGGCGTTCGTATTCGCCTATGATTTACTATTTATAGAAATCCGGGTTACCGTTGATAATAACATTATGATAAAGAATGTCGTTAGTTAATTTTAGAGCTGCCAAGCATAATGTGCTCAGATTTCAAACCACAACTGTTTCAAAACACACAGTCCACCTGATGGTAAGTGGTTGCTGTGACCCACAGACATCTACATCTATCCTCGATTACGAATCAAAATGCAGATGCGTTGCCACCCGTGAGGACTAAGATGGAATGCCAAGTTTCCAGTAAAAAGGTTCTCCGATTCTCTACACTCACCATACGAAACACAGCAGCGTTAAGTTGCTATTTTACGCTGGTATTCTGTGAGAGCTTGGTCCTTCCCCGGTCGAGCCGACCCATTCGTGCTACAGTTATATTACTAATATAGCTGCAGCATGGCTCTACCACGTACACATTCTATAATGAAAATTATTTACTTTTGCAGCGGCGGATCCCAAAAGAGGTTATATTTTGTCTGCCATATTGTAACATTCGTGTACCTACATGGGTGCATGTATGGGTGTTTATAGTTTCTACGTTCGCTCGTAACGATTAAACCGAAGAATATAGATAGTAATAACATACGGGAATTCCAAACTAGGCATTGTATTTTGACCAAAGATATCTCAATCAATTTGACGTTATTGCGTGGGTAACTTAGACTATCGATATGACGTCAGATGTAGTACATATGAAGATTGTATATGAATAATATATTATCAACATAGCTTGCTGCTTTATTTCAAAATATATTTTACCTTCTTGAATCTACTTTAGGCTTAGTATAGTTAGGCTAGTATTAATCGGACGTGGGGAGGTTAGGACTTGAGCGTGCCTATGCAATGAGTGCCTGGCAATAAGTTGACAACCACCATAAATAGTCCGATTACTTCCATTCGGCATGATACTGTTCTTCAGTCTACGCATTCATGCTTGTTGGTTAAAGTTGCTCTTAATTCGGCTCATCTTCAAATAGGTGATATCTTGAACTACGGTAAATGACATTCATTGCAAGCTTTAAAACGGCATAACATATAAAGTTTTTTTATTTTTTATTTAAGGGACTTTCGTTATTATTAACATGTCAGACCCATTGTACCTTATAACTGAATAGCTCAAAACAATTTATTTAATTACTTATACAATACTTGATAAATGATATAGAGTATACTTTGATATTCCAGTCAGTCAGTTTTGGCGACCAGTAGTTTCTTCTCGTGAACAATAAACTTGTCAAAGCAAGCAAAATGCATTATTTACTTAGCTAAATGTTTTACGCATATCCGTTCTATGAGATAGATATTCTGTTTTCCATATTCAATCGAACGGTATATAGAGAGGTGAAAGATACAACAATGTGGTTGTTCTACTTTGTACCACTAGGATTTAAGTATCATATTATATCGCTGTGACATGGAAAAGGTGGTCTATATTTTGTTTAATTATAACGGAATGTAATTTACTAGGTCAAGCAAATATGTCTAGATTAAATCGTTATCCTAAGTGCTAGTCGTAAAACGTTGGAGTAGCGTAGATAGGCGTGTGAAGAGACTGGGTTTACATAAACGTAATGTAGGATATCCACTGGCTAAATGAAAAGACTATCTGCACAAGACGGCTGGCATTCTACCATTTAACAGTGGTAGAACCACGCGGCAGCTTTTGCGGACACATGGATGGGCCGGCTCGAACCGGGGTGGTACCACGACCTCACAGAAAACCAGCGTGAAGTAGAGGTTTACCTCTGCGTTTCGCTTGGTGAGTGCAGGTGGCCGGAGGCCCTTTTTACTGGAAATGAGGCATTCCATCTTAGTCCTCACGGGTGACAACGCATCTACATTTTGATTTGTAATAGAGGATAGATGTAGATGTCTATGGGCCGCAGCAACCACTTACCATCAGGTGGACTGTGTGCTCGTTTGTCACCCTTATCCATTAAAAAAAAAGCTGGCATTAAATGGATGCGACGTCGCGTCGGGCTAAGTGGCGCGACTTGAGACACCCGTGAACTTCCACATGATGATGATGATGATGATTTCATAACATCACACACTACATTAATAGCAGTATTACGTTCACTGCTGTACATATGTCCAGAAATGCGCTAACAGAAATTCAAGAGATTTACTCGTACCTACTTACTATGCCAGTCTAATTGGTATGAGTAGTCTATGCTGGTCTGGCAGTGTGGCTCACGTCATTTAGACAGGTGGGTATGAGACGACCTTAAGGAATGCGTACTGGAATTAAATCAGCCACTTGTATAGTTTCAAAGGAGAATACAATAAAGATTTTGGTAAATAAACAAATATAATTTCTTACACCCACACCTCCAGCAATTGATTAAAAATATCAATGAAGATTATAATAGCGACATTAATTGTAATTAAGATTCTAATGTGTAAAGGAAACAAAATATTGTTTACCTGGAAGTACAGGATAATGGTCCAGATGAGACCGAGGACGACGGCGGGTCTGCCGTCCACTAAATCGGCAGCGTTGATGTTCACCAGCTTGATGCGCTTGCCGGCGAGGAACCGGAGCGCGGTGTTCGCGTTGGAGAGGAAGTGCGGTCTGCGGAGCACCCGTCCCCGTTCCATGGGCTGGGAGAAAACACTTAGTTAATAATTTATATCTTGCACGCATAATTTCAAAATGCCGAACTAGAACGGGGAAGTACTACTTCACTAGGTAGGTACTTTTACTCTCACTTGTACTCAATTCGACTGTATGTTTTTTTATGTGTGTTACCCTTTTTACTGGGTGAACCGATTTCGATGATTCTTTTTTATATGAAAGCTGATACTTCTCGTGTGGTCCAATATGAATTTGATCAAGGTCAGACCAATAGTTTTTGATTTATTTTATTTATTATTTTAATAATTGTTTTGTTTATTCTTAATAACTTATATTGAAGACGGCTGTACAAAAGTTTTAATTTTAAATTATACTTTTCTAAGATTGTTTTTGAAGCAAATTTTCAATCCCCGACGTAAACAGCGGGGTGTTAATGTTTAACGTGTGTACCTGTATATCTGTGTGTCTGTGTGTCTTCTGTGGCATTGTAGCTCCCAAACGGATGAACCAGATTTTGATTTAGTTTTTTTTTAAAAGCTTTTACAAAAATTTACCGCTACTCCCAACACCACTGCGGTGCTGGGATTAGTGGTGACGGGGATAGTGCACGCAATTGAGGGAGGGCGGGAGGTGCTTCTTCATACTAGGTAAGACATATCATTTTATTTTATAACGCAATATTTGCGAAGTAAATTTTTGTAAAAGCTTTTATATAATGGATTTCCGCAAAGTAACGCCTGATTCTATTAATAATAGTTTTTTTTTTGTTTAAAAGGTGTCTTGGTTGAGAGTGTTCTTAGCTATGATTCAAGAAAATCTTTTCAGCCGTTAGAGTTACGACATAAAGTGTTATTTTCTGTTAGAAATGTAATCTTATTTAGGTGTGAACTGATTTCAAGATGTCGTCTAAATGTAGAATGTGAACCCATCAATGTATATATTATTATTTTTGCTTTTTCAGTTTTAAATAATGTTAAGTAAAAAAAAAATAGAACTCACCAGCTTCTCGCCTGACAGCACTTCAAGCAGCGCCAGCAGCTTGGTGCCATCGCGTAGGTCATAGATCAGGTCGTCGATACGCAGTGGCGGGATGCGCTACGAGAATAATATATTTCATTAATGCATGACTGCCGCCTTGGTCAAGTAGTCGTAAACGCGGTCGCAGAATATGGTATATATATCCTGGCTAATGAAGACATTATCAGTAGCAACCCGGATAGGGTTGCCATCTCCTAAAATGAAACAGCCGGACTCGGCGCTCCAAAAAGCCCGACTTTTGGCCCTAAAAGCCGGACAGTAATTTTTGGAAAGCCAAACATACCTTTCTGGGGCCATGCAGCAAAAAAAACTCACCAACTTCAACCCCCCGAGAAAAAATCTAAAATACTCCGTTACATACGTTAATTATTTATTAATCAATCACAGCACAGTTTCAAGTGTATACGTTACTTATTTATTTATTCTGCAAGCGATGCGTGCAACGCGTTACACTAACAAAAGCCGGACAGTCCGGACACATAAAAATTTGGCCGGACACAACCCGAAAAAGCCAAACATGGCCGGCTAAAGCCGGACAGACGGCAACCCTAAACCCGGAGTCGGGAAGTTCGCGGTGTTTTGAACCCTGTGCCTCGGAAACCACGCAAAGCCGTAAAAACAAGGGATCCCTCGAATCCTTTTGAGTTACCACATCCTTTTAAGACCGCCCATCAGTCTCCTTATTTTCCACCGAAGCCCTATATTTTTTTTATAATATCGAGAAAACATTATCTTTGCTTAAATTAAATTATAACACGAGATCAGTTTTTTTTTTCTTTTTTTCTTTGTTTTCTTTTTTTTTTTTAAAACGCTACCCCCACACTAGAATTTTTCTCCTGTGTCGTGGAGGCAGTTTACAAACATAAATTGCACAAGGTCAAACATCCAGACCCGGAACAATTAGTTGTAGGCCATACAAATACTTGTTTCGTGCGGGATTCGAACCCGCGGCCCCCAGTGCAACAACTGATTGCTAAGCCACTGCGCCACGGAGCCGTCGATCAGTGATGTAATATATAAAAAAGCAAAGAGTTTCAAACAAGCAGATGTTGTTTGGTGTCGTCTCTTTTTCACACTGACGGTATTGATTTAATGCCTTAGGGCTTTACCATACCAATCGATCGATGGTGGAATGGATTAGTTGACGTCAATCGATAGTTTCTACCACATCAATCAATCGATGGTAGAATCGATTAGTCTACGTCGATCGAGCTGTTTGATTATTCAAGAAACCGCCCCGCTCCATCTACCACTCCCTATTGTCCTCTTCCGAATACATTTTGAAAGATATTTATGATGAGCCCACGACTACATAATTGTCGATCGAAGTCACTCGATGATTGAACAACGTTTTATCGACCAGTATCCGTCGATCAGCTAAAGCGGTAGCTTAGCCAATACACCAATCGATTCGATTAACACCAATCGATCGACATCGATCGAGGTCGATCAATGGCATCGATTGACGATCGATCGATCATTGGTGTGGTAACAACCCTTAGGTTATTTGTACATATTGAGTAAAGTAGTAAACATTTAAGTCGTATTTAGAAATACATACATAACAGTTTAAACAATTCGAGTCTTTCTTCTGTCGAAAACAACTTTATAATTATATAATTTATGTGATAAATGATATTCTAAACGTCTGACAATGTTACGTATTCGTTCACGAGATCAAGCCCTCAAGTCATAGAACACTGTCCCAAGTACAGCGTCTTGAGGAGCTGATCTTGGTAACTGATATACTGTTGTTATGTATTTATTAACTAGCAATGATCTTAAGATGGTGATATCGTAATGAGGACGTATCAAAAGATTACTTGAGTTCGTCGTTGAGGAACGTTCATTAATATGGATATTAGCTATCGATTATTACAAGAAATATACTAAAATGTTAATGAAATTCTCACCTTTGACAAATGTGAATTAATCCAGTTGACGAAAGTCTTCTTTTGTACTCTTTCTTGTTCATCTGCAACAAGGAAAATTGACTTTATTATTTCGAGTACGTAAATGGTTTATCACCATAATTCTTTTGTTTATAAAAAAAAAAATGGTAACAAACGGGCACACGGTCCACATGATGGTAAGTGAATGTATTGGTTTGTATTCTCTGTATCATGGTTAATAATCAAAATGCAGTACTGAGATGGAATGCCTCGTTGTCAGGGATCCCAGTAATTTTTCCGGTTTTTTACTTCATATAGTTATTACCTTTGAATATATCATGTATATAATCAAAGGTTATTACGTGCTGGTATTTTGTTATGTTTTCGTTGACGGTTACGACCATTTGGTCAAACATGAGGTGTCTTATGTCTATACAAACAGAATGTATGTATGTATCCGAAATTACGCGTGTGTGATCGTGGATAGGTTTGTAGAAGTAGAATCAAGTAGAATACTGCCCAGCAAAATAATTTGAACTAACTCAAACGTCTTTCAATCCAACTGTTGTAACGTTGTTAGAGTTCGTACAAGTTTTCGTGAATTTTAATTATAAAGCTTTTTTATCTCTGGTCTACTCGATATTTACGATATTGATTAATACTAACGGGATTAGTCCAATTCGATATGCTCATTTATATAAATTTCTTTGCCAAATGCATTCATCCAAATTTAAATGCTTCACGTTTTTTTAAATTGTTATATTCGTCAATCTAGCTGGACCTGAGTGTCCCCGAGTTTACCGCCAAACAAGTGGTAAAATTAAAAAATTTTTGCAACCAATTTCAATATAAATTATTAAGTATAACTCGAAAACTATTGGTCAGACCTGGATCAAATTTAAAAATTTTGTACAACCGACTTCAATACAAATCAAATGAGAACATCATCAATGTAGTCGAAGTCAATTAAATACGCATTCTTAAGGATAACTCAAACACTACTGGTCAGATCTTGATCAAATTTATATGGGACCACATGAGAGGCTTTCAAATAAAAAAGGATCATGAAATCGGTTCACCTAGAAAAAAGTTATGAAGTAACACACATAAAAACATACAGATGAATTGACTACCTTCTCCTTTTTGAAGTCGACAGAGAAAACATCATGCATTCACAATTTAAAATACATGCACATACGCGTCAGTTCTATTAAAATCAGTCTCCATTGCTATTGCCAAGTTCACTGCTCCGGTGCATCGTAAACAATTGCTCGAGATCGTGTTGTTAAATATATCGGTGATAATACTATTTCCGTACATGTTACGCTGCTAATATCTATTTGTATTCTATGATTTCATTGTTTAAAGTAATCTGTTTTAAGAATTAGTTAAAAAGGTGACATTCATTCATCCATTTATTACTGCGTATCAAAGTTTACTGCAAGTGGGCCTCCCTAAATATTGCCTCATAAGGGCGATATTTGCTACAGTTGCCACGTTTAGCAGGCGGGTTAGCAACGTCAGTTTTTTTTCTTTTCTAGTTGTTATCTATGAGGAAGTTGCTGCTGCCCATCTTCTGGTTTGTTCCCCCCTGTCGCCACTTACAACACCAACGGGACGATATGGTATTTTAGACGATTACATCACTGAGCTCGTGTTATAATTTAATAACTTCAAATAATATTGTTCACAAATCACAATTATAGTAATTTTACGTGGTAGAGCCATGCTGCAGCTATATTAGAAGTATAGTTGTAGCACGAATGGGTCGGCTCGACAGGGGAAGGACCACGCTCTTACAGAATACCACCGTAAAATAGCAGCTTAACACTGCTGTGTTTTGTATGGTGAGTGTAGAGAACCGGAGACCCTTTTTACTTGAAAAGAGGCATTCCATCTTAGTCCTCACGGGTGAAAACGCATCTGCATTTTGATTCGCAAACGACGATAGATGTAGATGTCTATGGCCCACAGCAATCACTTATCATCAGGTGGACTGTGTGCTCGTTTGTCACCCTATCCTATAAAAAAAACCGGCAAAGTACGAGTCGGACTCGCGCACCGAGGGTTCCGAACAAATTTGTAGGTATATAAGTTTAAAATTATTAAAAACATTTTTATTATATGATGTAACTAAAAATTTATGCTTTTCGCAATTTTTCCTTTATCTGTGCTATAAATAGTGTGCTATGTGTAGGTTTTGATTCCCTTGCGAATGTCGAAAATTTACGGCATAAACGGCTATATCTTTTGATTGCGTTGGCTTAGAAGTTTGATTTTTTCACAGCTCCAAGGGACAGTAGACTTGAGTATTTGATATGAATTTCAGCTTGATACCTCAACGCGTTCCTGAGAAAAAGGGTCTTGACAGACAGACAGACAGACAGACGGACAACAAAGTGATCCTATAAGGGTTCCGTTTTTTCCTTTTGAGGTACGGAACCCTAAAAAGCGGTATAATAATAATTGTATTACTCAAACCAGAAGAATATATCATAGACAAATGATATCACGTTTGTACCCGCAAGTCACGTACAAAACTACCTAATAATTATTTTCATAATACCTTTTTGAATCAGTAAATATTGCGCGGCTTAAACATGGCACGAATTGTAATATTATAATTCGTAAACATAATTCACGGATTCAATTATTCTGTCCACTTTACTATTTACGGACGATATACAAATATGGCGACGTTTAGACTGCACCTAGGTATGCGTTAGGCTATTCCACGTTTGGTATCGATCGAAGTCCAAATATGGCCGCGGCTTCAATGAATTAAACAGCCACTTATGAGATTTCTTCGCATATTACTTGAATAACATTGTAATGGATTTTATTAACTGAGGAATTAATTTATGTACCGCAGTTAATCTTAAGAACGAAGAAGAAAAGTTAAGAACATTTATTACAAATGTTAAAACTCCTACCCGGCCTAAGAGTTGTAGGTAGGTTGTTGTTGTTATCTGTTTCTGACACCAAATAAATAGCAGTGCGCCGTTAATGGCGCTGTAAGAATATCCACTACCCCATATCGTCCCACGAGTGTCGTAAGAGACGACAGAGGGAAACAAGGAGATGGGCAGCAGCGTCTTCCTAATAACGACTAAAAATAAAAATAATTAAAGTTAAAATTTTTGTACTGCCGACTTTAATATAAGTTATTAAGAATAACTCAAAAACTATTGGTCTGACCTTGATCAAATTATAACATAATATGGAACCACACGAGAAGTACCAACAATTCATATAAAAAAAGAATCATCGAAATCGGTTCACCTAGTAAAAAGTTATGAGGTAACACACATAAAGAAAAACATACAGTCGAATTGAGTACCGTCTCCTTTTTGGAAGTCGGCAGAAAAAACTGCGGTTTCCAACTCGCTTACCAACCGTGGCAACTAAGCAAATATCCCCCTTATGAGGTAATCTATGGAGGAAGTAATCTATCGGGGAATCCACTGCTGAACATAGGGGAGGTCTACGTTCAGCAGTGAACTTTAATAGGCTGTAACGGTGACGGTAACGGTAACAGCACTACTGTTTTCAAATCTGAAGGTAATAGATCCAGTATAAGTGCAGGTTACGAGGCATTCCATGTTAGTCTTCAGAGGTGACGACGCTACGTGGTGCTGCAGAGATAAAATAGGTAGAAAATTTACAAATAGATTGGAGATTCGACAAAGAGAATTTTGAGTGCTTATAGTGTTACTCTAGTTTATATCCCTCGCAGGACTACTTTTCTACCGATTTCAAACAGGAGACGGTACTCAATTCGACTGTATGTTTTTCTTTTTTTTTTATGTGTTATCTCATAACTTTTTGCCCCGGATGAACCGATTCCGATGATTCTTTTTTTTATCTGAAAGCTGGTGCTTCACATGTGGTCCCATATAAATTTGATCATAGTCTGACCAATAGTTTTTGAGTTATTCTTAATAATTTACACTGAAGTCAGTTGTACAAAATTTTAAATTATCTTCTCGGGTGGCTGTTTGTTCAATTACCAACGTATTACATATTTCTGCCGCCAAATAAAGCAAACAATTTCTTTTTGTATTATAAATGGCACCGTAACCAGGCGTAACTTAATGAAACACATGTCGATTTATTCCTTATAACCAATAGATTACAATAGTAATATTAGTTTTACCGTATCTAACGGGACTACTGAGAAATTAACAATTAAATCGTGAATATCACAATAACCTAAAAACAATCTTTTTTTTTATAGGATCGGGTGACAAACGAGCACACAGTCCACCTGATGGTAAGTGGTTACTGTGACCCATAGACATCTACATCTATCCTCAATAAAGACTCAAGATGCAGATGCGTTGTCACCCGTGAGGACTAAGATGGAATGCCTCTTTGCTAGTAAAAAGGGTCTCCGGTTCTCTACACTCACCATACGAAACACAGCAGCGTTAAGCTGCTATTTTACGCTGGTTTTCTGTGAGAGTGTGGTCCTTCCCCGGTCGAGCCGACCCATTCGTGCTACAAACATAATATAGCTGCAGCATGGCTCTACCACGTAGAAAAGCGATTGTCTAGTAGTTTTCACCGGTATTATAAGTTATAATAGTTCACTGGTCTATAATTAATAGTATAAAAGAAAGTTGTAGATACGTTCAGCATTTATAGGTAATTTAAGGTAGATAGAAAATTTTTTTTAGTAGTTCGTTCTTCTTTATATGCATTTTTTTCATATTACATTAGCCAATTCACGAATATAAAAATAATTTATTCAGATTTTATGATTCCGTTTACATTTTCATAAAATCTTTAGGCCATTTATTATAATAACTTGGTATCTTTTTTAAGTGTTTTAAGTTTCTAGTGGGTACAAAAACGATTGTCGCCTTTCTGCTTTCACTGCTGTGTTTCGGTCTAAGCAGGCTGTGGGTTATTCCATCGTAATTCTCATGACAACGCATAATATGTCAGCCTGCTTTCTTTGAAATTGGCTGCAGGTGCCCATGGACTGCAGTTGCAACTTACCATCAGGTGGACTGTGACTGTATGTTCGTTCGTTACTGGAGTTTAATAAAAAATCTAGACATAACTATTACATATTAAA